ACATCTAAAACTTAGAATAGGGATTCATTGTGTCCGCAGCTTCATTCATGAGCCTACGAACAGGTATGTGCCCCACCAATGGATTACAATATCATTCCATTCCCGGCGCCATCCGCCAAACGGAAGCAAAAAAAAAAATCACGAGTTGCAATCATTATGCAACTTGCTGTAACTCGGGATTGTAGTTCTATATTGGGAGGGAAGGGTGAATACTGACATGCTTGCAAGTCTGATATACAATTTTGGCATATGGTATTGACTCAGTAGGCTATCCGCCACCATGTATCCCCCTGCTCATAATAATGTAATACTCTTAGGCTGCCTGAATCAGCTATCGCGCCTTGCCTGAAATCTCTTCAAGCGCGCCTGAAATTCGAAGAAATTCAAGTCGGTTCCTACCCTTTCGTATTGCGGGGCGTCATAGTCTCGCTCATTGGGAAAGATCTCGCCCGTCCGGATGCCTTGGGCGAGGAGGTCGTGAAAGAAGTCCAAGGTCAGGTCGTGGAACCAGAGCAGCCTGCGCTCTAGCTCCCTTACTGAAGATAACTATGAACTAAACGATGTGTGGGTTTGTGAGATTTCAGGGGGTGGCGGGGGACAACATGCGCATAATGTTAGCTAAAAGATTGGTACTGATTTCACCTGTTTACACAAGTTGTGTATCCGAGGAACATGTAACCGCCAGGAAAAGAGATGTAGCTGTGCAGGTTGATGACGACAATGCTACCTCCAGAGATCTGGTACCAAATGGCCAAACACCTCAAGGACGACCGGAAGTCACTCTTATCTATGTGTCCGCTTGATACTCGTACTTGCGATTTGTTGGTTCCGATTCTTTATCGCACCATCGTCCTCCCTAGACCTGTGCTAGTTGTATGATTTCACCAAGCAATTCCAACGAGTGCGCGCTCACTCGGGGACTTGGTCCAGTCCTCGGTGGCGGGCCAAGGCCAGTATCACCCATTAGGCTGTATGAAGAAAATTGGATATTTTCGAGATAATAAGGGGCTGAATCTTGCGAGCAGTTATTCCATCTCTGTTTCCCTCTTATACCGGTTGTTGTTTGATATAACTCCATCATCCACACGCTGCATGTTTCGATTCTGGTCCACGGACATCGCTGGCTGCTCTGTATATGTAGTACTCAGCTTTGTATCGCATCTGTGCGATTTCACCAGGGGTTTTTGGAACTAAAACTATGCAATCGAGTTTGCGTTTTTAGTCAAGGGCGGGCCACATCTTGGTTTCAAACAAGAACCTCTGTTGAAACGGCCCTCCAACGAATTGCTACTGCAGATGCACTATGTACTTTTTATTTCTCGAGTAGCATACAGGGTACAACTATGCCGTGCACCACAAACCTCCACCCGACTCTCACCTCATCGCACGCACACCCAACAGTCGCCCACCATCCAGAGAACAAGGTATCGAAAGAAAAAGCAAGCGCAGTCAGTTTCAGACGTCATCACAGAAGAGAAGAGAAAACGTACAAAGCATGACAGGAGCCCAGCCTCTCAAGAGGTGCCGCGTCTGCACCGGCTGGACTCCCCCGTCGCCCAGGATGCGCCCAAACCTGTTTTTAGTTAGCGTCCCCCAATGGTCCTTTTATCATTCTTTTTTTTTTTTTTGTCATTTTTAGTGACGCTTTTTTGCATCT